GCGTTGGAAGGGGAGGGGCTTCGAGGCCGCAGTACCCGCCCCGCCCCGCCCCACCGCGTCAAGAGGCTGGAATGAGGGGAATCCGCATGTGGAGGGGTCCGGCGGACTTCACCCATCCCGAGCGGCGCAGCCGCATTCCTAGGATGCCCGCTGGCGCCCCCGCAGCCACCGCCCCGCATCGGAAGGAGGGCGTGTCGCTGCCGCCCTGCGGGCCTGAGGCCAGACACAGTCCGGGCAACTACTCCAAGCCTGCACCACCTCTCTGGTCAGGGGCGTGAGTCCAGAGAGGGGAAGTAAAGTAGGGAACCAAGGGTGTGAGGGACACCGCCATGCCAGGCGCTTCCTGCGTTCTTAGCTTATGTCACTCCTGTCAGTGCAGGACGCACACCATGAGTTCTGTTGTTATTCTATTTCAGAAGGGGGAACTGAGAGTAGGTAGGTGAGACGATTTCTAAACTTGTATGAGAAATGGGACTGGAACCCAGGACCCCTAATACTACTAAGGTAGTGCTGCCCTGATCTCTCCCAATAGTTAACAGGACTGCATTGACAGTTTTCCTCAGTGACCTAGGACAGGAATCTTGACTACTGATGTTTACGGGTGGCAACTGGGAAACACCTGATGGCCCTGGGCTTAAGGTTGGCTTCAGACTGGAGTGAGTAGTGACCCAAGACTTAATTCCTAAAAGCACCTCTGGGGCTTCTCCTACCTGGGCAGATAATGTGTGCTGGAACTATGGGGAAGGGGGCTGACAGCAGAACTGGTTCATCCAGTGGCCCTTACCCAGTGTTTTTGAGCCTGACCTCTGGTGGAGTGAAGGGCCAGAGGAACTGCTCTGACTTTCACTGAGGCAAACAGAGAAAGCACAACTGCAGCCTGCCTGGTAGGTCAGTGCAGGCCCAAAGCAGACAGACACTCTTGTTTTGTCTCATTGTGTAACCCAGGCTGACCTGGGACTCAGCAGCCTCTTGCCTCAGCTTCCCTAGTGCTGAGATTACAAAAGTACGCTATCATGCTTGGCTTAATTTAGATTATCAAATCCATTTTAGGTCTGGGCCCAGGCTGCCCCATCAGAGACTGTTAGAGGCTTCAGAGACTCTCTCTCTCTGTGTGTGTGTGTGTTACTCACAGTGCCTAATTAAGGACTCTGGCTCCAGAACTATGGATCTTTGATCTGCCAGAATTCTTTACCCGAGAGTCCAGCAAAAATAGATAAAGCACTTTGCCCCTAAATGAGTTTTCACATTCACTGTCCTTCCCCGGAGAGGGGGCAGCATCTCTAGCTGGTAATCATGACCTGGCTGGCATTCAAGGCTGGTCCTCTTGCCCTTACACCAACCAGATCACCAATCACCATCTGCTAAAACCTCATTCCTGCTTCTCCATCCTGCTCCTCTTCTGGACCAAAGTTACAGTCTTCTTCTGTCCTCCTGTCTGCCATTTACAAATGCAAATCTCACAGTTACCATCTCAAGTTAATGGAGAAGAGGCTTAGAAAGCACAGCTCCCCCGTGCAAAGCTCGCCCTTCATACTCACTGCTTCTGTCGAGCACCAGAGAATGGACTCAGTTTACTGCACTGCTTCTCTATTAATCTGTAACTGAACAGGTAATCCTTTCCAGTCCCTTCTTTCTTCACGACCACACAAAGCCAGGAGGTGCTGGTGTACCCCTCCTGACAACCACGAGAGACTACATGTTCTGTGGCTTTGCACCTGCAGCTTCCTTAGCCCAGCTCTCTCGGCCTACCCACCTCACTTAGTCATCCCCGAAGAATCAACTCAGGAACCACCTTCGCCATAGCTCCTTCTTAATTTTCCCTAATACACAGCCTCCTCCTTACTAAATTAATACTAGTTGTCTGCTTCCTTGTCAGACTGCCGGGAGACTGCTCTGATCTGCAAGCACTCAGCTAGGCACTCAATAACCCATTGGTGGGCGCTTACATGAATGAATGAATCTCAGAGGCCGGGAGTATGAGCAAGAGCCTGGCTTATGCTGTAATTGAATAAAACTGTAGTCCAGTCATTCATTCTCCCATTCATCTCTGAGCCTGGCACCCGCCGAATTTTCACAAACGGCTCGCAGGGATCACCAGAGCGCCAGGGCTCCGGGGGCGAAGGACGGGAAGGGGCGGGGCTCGACCTGTTTCTCCGGAACCCAGAGCTGGGAGGGCCTGCGGGAGTGGCCCGGAGGGAGCACAGAGTGCGGGGCTCCCGCGCCCGCCCCCAAGAGACTGAGTCCCAGTGCCTCCCGGTCCTGAGACCCTTGCACTACTCGAGCTGAGCGAATCCTGTCCCAGCAATACCCAGCTAGAGAGAGCAGGACCACAGCTCTGGCAGCTAGCTGAAGACGCACAAACGCCTACCCCTCCAGCCATCTGGGACTCTGTGGGTTCGTCCCATCCCTGTGTACCCACCGGCTTGGTTCTTCGGGTGATCGGGCGGGGGCTGGGCTGGACGGCGTGGCCACCTCCGGAGTCCGCAGCCCGGGTACGCTCTCCCCGCCCAGGGCCCGCTAGGGGCCGGGCCGCCGCCTATCGTCATCCCCCGCAAGGCCCAGGCTCTGGCGCGCGCGCGCCCTTGGGCCCCGCCCCGTGCTGGTGGCCCTCCCCAGGGCCCAGGCCAGCGCCCGCCAAGGCTTGGTGCTGCACTTCTCTATTAACTCGCAGGACAAGACGCGTCACAGTTATACTCGGGCGCGCGCACACGCACACATTCCTCCAGTAGAAGACCCAACTCACGCTGTAGTACTTGGTGGGTGGGAACACCAGATGCGATTCTCGGTCTTTAAGTAAACCAGACCCTCACCTCACCATACTGCCTTTAGTGGCTAGGCCAGTCCTCTCCCATTTCTAATTTTCTCTCTTCTTTCACCCACCTTTTCGTTCCATACTGCGAGCAATCCCAGTTTTGCGTGCCCGGCGGGTAAAGGGAAGGAATTTATTGTACTGTACGTCCACAACTTTTACACGTACTAGTCTTTTGGTGTCAGAGCACTGTCATCTTGCTATGTCCAGTTTTCCAGCTAAGTCCATTTAGGTTGAGGAAGCTGGCAAAGGAGTTAAAATCCAAACCTCCGATTTTTAGGAATCCTTTCTAGTAGCTCACAATCCCTTACCCCTTCTTTCCACGTACTTCTTGTCTTAATGGTTTCTGCCTCCATCGAAGATCAGAAGCTCCTCAATGCTCATGTCTTTCCAGTGGGGTGTACAGAAGGGGTCGCCCAGCCCAGGAGAGACCCTACCACCACCATTCCTACCAGCCCACAGTATCATCATAGCTTACGAGTTTGCATGGCCTGTGTGGATGGACCACACGGATGATCTCTCCCGTTGGTATCAGTTCTACTTGTAGAGCCATTCCGCTGTGTGGAGAGCCGGCCTGCAGAACTCAAAAACTGCTCAGCAGCCCACTGGCTCTGGCGGCTCCACTGTCTCACGCTGGGAAGGCCAGTTGGTTCTGTTTCAACTCCAGCCCCTGGGGATGTGGCTGGTCCAGCTTCTCAGGACACAGCTGGAGCAGTCCAGGTCTGATTGGGAGGTCTCTTGGCCAGAGGGTTGGGGCAGGAAGAGGAGGGGCTGAAGGATGGAGGAAATGCCTGTTGTCTCAGGTAACCAGAGGAGCTGATGCATCCACCCATGAGGGACCCTGGGCTCCAGGTCAAAGGTTAGGAGACAATCCCCCACCCCCTTTCCAGCAACTCCCTGGCAGGGCCTCTCAAGCTGCCCCCTCTCAGCTCAATTAGCCAAATAATCATCCCCTAACCAGAGGCACATCTTTCCACAAACCAAGAGGATCCTTTATGCAGCGGTGACCCTCTTGAGGATCCTGAAATTTGGCTGCCTCTAAAGGTAGTGGACCTTATACCTTTTTTTAAAAAGTGTTTGACTATGTATTTTGTCCCTGCTAGTCTTGAACTTCTGGACTCAAGTGATCCTCCTCCTGCATCATCCTCGTGCTGGTAGAATAGGTATGTGTTGACCACTTGACTACGTCATTTTTTTTTTTTTTTTGAGGCTAAGGCTGGGCATGTGGGCATGCTGGGCTGTTTGGAACAGCAGGAGGCCTCCACCCTACCCACTTTCAGAGCCTCAAGGTAAGTTCCTGGGTCCCCTGGGTATGTACCCCCTGTTTATTTTCAACTGCACCTCCCCTTGCCCCCACCCAGTGTTCCTGTTTTTCTGTCTTTATTGTTGCTAAATCACAGCTGACATTTTCCTGGCCTGGAACTGAGGTCTGGGTCTCCAGTCATTCCTTATAGGAAATGAGAACGAACAGGGAAGTCAGGGGGAAACAGACTTTTCCAGAAGGAGAAGCTGGCATGGGCGGGGCAGAGGCACCCTGGGCCTGCCCTGACACTGATGGCTGGGCACCGTCCCTTTTCTCCCTCAGCTTCCTCCGCCCAGGAAAGGCCTAGAAAGCTTCCTTCCTCTGGGAAGCACATCTATCCAGGGCAGGCTCATCCTAGTGGCCACACAATGGCTCTTATCAGTCTCGGAGCCAGGCACGGAGACCCAGCACACACCAAGTCTCGCATATTTCCTGTTTCCACCCAACGGGTCAGGGGTGGGCCCAGAACAGCCATATCCTGACTGGGGCCTAAGAGGGAGAGCAATCCCCTTCCTTTTTCCGCCTCTCAATCACAGCTGAACTCACCCTTCCCAGTTCAGGAGGGATCCTGCACCAGAACACCAGCCACAGTGGTGTTTCTAAGGGTGTAGGAAGGGTAGAAGTGAGTTTGTGGAGAAGTACCGGGGGCCCTGGCCCCTAGAGCCAGCCCCAGGGCTTCATGAATCAGAATAGCAATGCTGGTAGTGTTTTTGGGTCTTAGCAATAGCTCTCTTAGTGACTTGTCAACAGGTATCATTTGCATTTTCTAGATAACTGAGACCCCTGTGGCTAAGGTAGGATAGGATGGGTCACAGATGCAAGCCCAGTCTCCAGGCCCCATTCCTATATTCTGATCCTTATGCCCATCAAAGGAGTCACACAGGAACATAAAAGCCATATTTATAATTATCTTCCAATATAACAACACACAGAGAACAGACAGCCACAGCCCACTAGAAGCCTGGGGAGTTATTCTTAACACCCGGTGGCTCCCAGGATAGAATACAGAGCCTGGAGCAATTGGAATGACTCTTGGGTCACAGGATGGATGTGAGAATTACAGGGCAAGACTCCCTGAGGTGTCTTCTCCTGGGAGAAGAGGCATTGAGTCACTGTTGGCAGAGGGTAATTGTCAGGAATAAGGACAGGCAGCTTCTTCCTGCCACTAGGTCCTTCAGAATGTCTTGAACCTAGCTTCTCGCTGCTTCCCATTTCTAGGTCCCAGCAGGGCCCAGAGGGAGGAGCAGTGCTTTGCCAATGAAGATGAGCTTGATCTGAAGACCACCCTAGAGGACAGTGGCTATGGCTCCTCCACAACCTGTCAACTCTCTGTAAAGGGCAGGTGGGGACATGGAGCTGCGCTCACCCGCAGAAGCTAACCTTAGGCCCTAGAACCTCCTGATCAGAGTCCACTTTCCACAGTAGAGATGGGCATTACTATCTCCTTTTATCATAGTGCTTCCGCTCAAAGCAGGATCTCAGAGCCTTTGCTCATCCCTGTGGGGACAAACGGTGAAATGCCAAGACTTTTGGAACCCAGTGCTGTTCATGCCACCCAATTGACAGGGCCTGTACAAATGTGAACATCCCTCCTCCCAGGGCAGCCCGAGGCCGGGGATGGTGTGATAGGAATGCAGGCCTGAGCCAGATAGGGCATGTGCCTGGCATGACTGCTTGGATGTGAGAGGGAGTGTTTATGAAAGGGAGAAAAAAGAAATAGCATGCAAGCTAGTGGAAGCAAGCAAGTCTATATGCAGTGGACTGTCTCCAAGTCTTCACCATTGACACACTACTCTGTTTCAATCACATCTCTGTAACAAAAAGCTGTATTAAAGGGCCAGTTCATCTGGCCTGGAGCGAGCAGAGGAATCTGGCTGAGCTCCCCTGGGAGGTGGGGAGCTGGAGGATACTCAGCTGCCTCCTCAGGGGCTGGGCCAGACTGCTGGCAGTGCTGTGCCAGAGCTGGCTTCCAGCTCTAGCCTCCGCCCTGGATTCATTCACTCCCATCTGGGCTCAGATCTGTGGTTCAGGCTCACACAGTGTGTCCTCTCTCAAAAAGAAGCGAAACGGGATCTGCAGGGGTAAAACAGGTAGCAGAAGAGGTGAACAAAGTTCTTATCTACTTACCTAATGCCCCACTCACACCCAACAGATAGAGCTCTACAGGCATAGCATGCCTCCCAGACCCTTCAAAGTAACCTTCCCCTTCTCCCAACAGCAGCCCCTTACCTTGAAGGGTTGACTTATACCCACTACAGAGTGCAGGTTGTTACTATAGTAACAGAGAAGAAACTGATCCTCAGAGTCAGGGATAGCACTGATGTTGATATACACCTGGGGCAACAGGAATGGGGTCAGTTCCTGGGCCCAGGGCCCTCCCCAGGATAGTGGTAAATTATCCAAACACTTTCTTCCTTCCAGAAGACAAGAATGTTTAGGCAATTCTGCATGTCGGAGATGTACCTGGTTTGGGTTGTTACCACAGGAGACTTGGTTGTCGCCGACCCAGACATAGGATACATAGTCATTAATGTGGCGCATCCCCACCTGTGAGTGGGATCAGGCAGGCAGTCAGTGGTTGAGGAGGGTATGAGAGCTACAGAAAAATCCTAAGGAGAAGATGGTCTCACTGCCAGGGCTGGTCTTAACACTAAGTCTTCTCTTTCCTGACGGGCCCTAAATTGGACAGGGTCCCTGGGGTGAACAAGGGTAAGTTCTTCAGTTTTCCCTGATCAGCTCCTGTGAGCCCCAGTGATGGACAAACCAGGGGTGATGGACTCCCTGCCTTGCCTGCCGAATCACCTTGTATAGTCCGATCCAATCCCAGGGGCTGCTGACGAACTCTGGGGTGGAGGTGTAGCTGATCAGCATGTCGTTCTCTGTGGTCCACAGGTACTCAGGCATCATGGTGATCGGTGGGGCAGACATCAGTGGGCTCAGCTGCACACAGGGGTGGGTGGTAGGCTGGAATCCTTAAGGCAACTGTTCCTTACTGTGTTCTGCTAGCATGGTAGGGGCAACAGGGACACCCAGAGCAGTGGGCATAGAACTTTGCTAGGCTACTCTAGCTGACCCTAGCTGGCCAATAGGAAAGGGAAAGGGCCAAAGGCTTGTCATGGGGAAAGCTTGTCCTGCCAGGGGAATGGGGTCTAGAACCAGGTAAACAGCACAGAGTCGAGAACTGAGGGTGTGCATGCATATGGGAAAAGGGATTTGGTTTAAAAAAGAGGTCTGGGGACTGGAGAGATGGTTAAGAGTACTAGCTGCTCTTCCAGAGGTCCTGAGTTCAATTCCCAGCAACTACATGGTGGCTCCCAACCATCTGTAATGAGATCTGATGCCCTCTTCTGGTGTGTCTGAAGACAGCTACGGTGCACTCACAAACATAAAGTAAATAAATACATCTTTAAAAAAGAAAAAGAGAAAGAAAGAAAGAAAGAAAGAAAGGACGAACAAACTGATGGTCACTCTCTTCCGAAGTTTCTGCCTCAAAGGCCCCAATTCAGTTTGGTGGAGAAAAGCTCTGGTGAGAACAGCTGTACAACTGTGGAAGGGCCAGCACTGGAGCTGAGAGGAGAGGCACTTTAGTGTGGCCAACAGTGCAGTTATTAGGTGGTAAGCTATAAAGGATGGGCAGAGTTCCCTCTGCAACTCGATCTAGATACAATTAGGACAAATAAAAGGAGTTCTACTTCACACAGGAGGTAATAAGTATGATGGAACTCATTAACCTCCAGGGAGAAGACCAGGAGGAAACAGAAGCCTATTCACAAAGGACCTCCACACAGGAAGAGCCATCAACAGCTCCTCAGAAGCACTGGGATACCTGACCTGGGAGGAAAGACAATCATGTCCTCCTACAGGTGTCCCCTGGAGACTGCCTGACTTTACAACCAGCCCAGAGGGCTTCGTAGTGTGGCCAGCACAGCTATCCCTCTGCCAGGTTTTGGGAAGCCCAGAAGTTCACCTCCAAGTGGAAAGTGCCAGTGACAGGCTTATGGTCACTGATGCTGTATGTCATGTGACTGATGTAGTTCTTCAGCGTCAGCAAGAAGCAGGACGTTTGTAGACTGGAGGCCAGGGGGCTGGCTTGGGACGGCTGCCGCTTCAACCTCCACATGATGCGGTCAGTCCACGCAGGCTTACGTTTTTTCTCACTTAGGGTAGGGAAAAGAATGGGAAGAAAAGGAGTTGGCACGAGAGCAGGAATGTGCCCCCATGTGTCTACTTCAGGGTCTACCAGCACATGAAGACTTCTGCATACTGGCAGGTGAGTGTATCCAACAGAAGCAGCAGGAATCAACCACAGACCCTCTGCTAAGCCCATGTTTATGAACTAAGCTGTGATTTAAGAATATTACAGCTGGTAGTGGTGGCGCACACCAGTAGGATTTGCTGAAGGAGGCAGAGGCAGAAGGATCATGAGTTCAAGGCCAGCCTGGGCTACACATTTTGCCAGGCGGTGGTGGCGCACACCTTTAATCCCAGCACTTGGGAGGCAGAGGCAGGCGGATTTCTGAGTTCGAGGCCAGCCTGGTCTACAGAGTGACTTCCAGGACAGCCTGGGCTATACAGAGAAACCCTGTCTCGAAAAACCAAAAAAAAAAAAAAAAAAAAAAGAATTTTACATTCAGGGCCTTTTTTAAAAAAAAAAAAAAAACAGTAAAGAACCTAGGTTGGGTTTTGAAGATGTAGACTCAGACTTGAATTTGGGGAAAGCTTGCCACAGGCCTGTGGTTAGTAGGGTTACCACTCACCCTTTACAGGAGGGAGACTGAGCCTTAGCATGGGGGTAATTTCCCAAAGCCACAGAGTTACTAAGTGTGCAGCCAGGACTCAAGGCCAAGCCAGCAGCATGACCGCAGAGCATGTGCGCTTAACCATCACACTGACCCTCTTAGGCTCCGGCTTCCTTGGCTTCCTCGGCTGCAAAATGGAGATGAGAACGGTTGTTATCTTGCAGGGTTGCTAAGACAACCAGATGAGCTGAACTGCCTCTAGGTCTGGGACAGGCCTCTGCCTGAAACAAGCTGCCTGTAGAGAACTCGGTCAGTGTGGTTAGACAGGGTTGCCTGCAGTCCAGCCTGGCCTCAAACTCTCCGTATACAGGAGGATGACTGAACTTGTCGTCCGGCTGCCTGCCTTCATCAGTGTACAGGTGTGTGCTACCATGCTCAGTTAGTGTGCTGGCAATCCACCAGGCAAGCACTCTACTGCTTGTGCTATACCCAACTCTCACTGATTATTTGTTCTCGAGTCATCAGAAAGAGCTTGCCATGTAAGCAAGAGGGTCTGAATGAAAACCCTTGTAAAATTCAAAACTAAGCAAGCACAGTGCTAAGGAGGGTGGAAGCAGGCAGACCCCCGGGGGAGGCCAGATCACGGGCCAGCCAGCATAACTGGTGAGCTCCAGATTAGAAAGTGATCCTGTTTCAAAAAGTGAGGTGGGAGCCAGGGGTGGTAGTGCATGCCTTTACTCCTAGCACCGAGGAGGCAGAGGCCAGCCTGGTCTACACAGAGAGTCCTAAGACAACCAGGGCTATGTATGAAAACCTACCTCCACCCGACCTCTCCAAAAAAAGAGATGAGAAGTAAAGGCTTTTGCCACCAAGCTTGACAACCCAAGCTCAACATCCAGAAGGCGAAAGTGAGAACCAGTTCTCAGAAGCCATTCTTTGATTACAAATGTGCCATTGCAAATGCATCCCCACACACACCAAAAATGTAAAACATGTTTAAATTTTTTTTTTTTTTTGGTTTTTCGAGACAGGGTTTCTCTGTGTAGCCCTGGCTGTCCTGGAACTCACTCTGTAGACCAGGCTGGCCTCGAACTCAGAAATCTGCCTGCCTCTGCCTCCCAAGTGCTGGGATTAAAGGTATGTGCCACCACTGCCCGGCTAAATTTTTTTAAAAAAGGAAAAACAATCAAAGACACTAGACACTAACATCTGGCCTATACACATTCATATTCATTCATTCAGATTCTCTTCCCCGTTCCAAAAAGAAAAAAAAAAAAAGTCAGGCATGGTGGCTCATGCCTATAATCCCAGCACTTAGCTGGCTAAGGCAGAAGGATCACTTTGACTTTGAGGTCAACCTGGGCTCTACAGAGTTCCAGCCAGTGACTACAGAGTGAGTTCCTATCTCAAGGAGGGAGGGGGCACTGGCACTTTATAGCTCAGCAGTAAAGAGCACTGGCTGCTCTTTCAGAGGACCTGGGTTCAATTCCCAGCAATCATGGATGTTAACAAGTATCTGTAACTCCAATTCTAGGGGATCTGATTCCCTCTTTTGATGTCTGTGGACAGTAGGCATGCATGTGGTGCACAGACTCAGGCAGGCAAAACACATAAAATGAAAAAATTAATAAATTAAAATTGTAAAAAGCTGTGGAAGATGACATTGATGCTGGCCTCTGGTATCCACAGACACATGCACAGGCAATGGATGGGCAAGTGTGTCTACATACATGTAAACATACATACATGTACACACATGCACAAACCCCAAACAAAAAAGTAAACAACAACAACAAATAAACCCAAAATAGAAAAAAAAATGATTTCTAGTTAGATATGGTGGTACACACCTTTAATCTCAGCACTACAGAGGCAAAGGCAGGTGGATCTCTGTGAGTTCAAAACTAACCTGGTCTAGAGAGCAAGTTCTAAGACAGCCAGGACTATACAGAGGAACCCTGTCTCAAACAACCCAACAACAACAACAAAACAACCAACAAAAACAGTGTCCAGCCGGGCAGTGGTGGCGCACGCTTTTAATCCCAGCACTTGGGAGGCAGAGGAGGGGGGATTTCTGAGTTCGAGGCCGGCCTGGTCTACAGAGTGAGTTCCAGGACAGCCAGGGCTACACAGAGAAACCGTCTTGGGGCGGGGGTGGGGGGGAAACAGCGTCCAGTCATAATGTAGTATTCTATGTCCAATCATTCTGACAGTTCCATCTCCCACTTCTTCAGTCCTATTTGACTAGAGCCTTCCAGTGCACTGTCGGTGTTTAAGCAGCAGCCCACCTTTCACTAATGAGGATGACACCATGGCAAACCCAGACTCTAGAAGCAAGAGGCTAGCTGGAGGAAGGTTCTGGTCTGGTAATGCCAGAGCTGTGCCCTCAGGCAAATGACCTCACCTCTCTACAGCTCAGTTTCTTGAACTTTCAGATGGGGTGATAACAGCACTTATTTCACTTCAAAGGGGCTGAGGTGTTGAGGAGTGGCTAAAAAGTGGAAACTCTGGCTAAACCACCTTCTGCTTGTCAGCTCCCAAAGTGTTTCCAGATGTTTACCTTTCTGGGGTTTTTGTTGTTTGTTCAGAGACAGGGTCTTACTCTGTGGCCCTTGCACAACTGGGAACTCATTATGTAGACCACGATGGCCTGGAACTCATAGATCCACCTGCCTCTGCCTCCCCAGTGTTGGCATTACTAGGACACTGCCTAGTCACTGTGTCCTTGGTCATCATGAGCACGACATGTCCAGGAAGGCTTACAATTTGACAAGAGCTGCATAAATGTACTTCTTCAAAGCCCAGGCTCTCCCCAATTCTCTGAGATGGTTAAGAACCCAGACCTTCTGTCAGGTTAGTGTCTGTCTCCTTCTTCCTCAGTACTTCTCAGCCAGCCCTTCTTCATATCTTTTCTATAGCATCTGCATTGTTCATCTTTTCCAACAAGGCTTACCATATGTCAACTAAGAATGACTAACAAGCAGGGTCTGTAGGTGGGTATGGAAGTGCACCTTTAATCCTGGCAGAGGCAGGTAAATCTCTGTGAGTTCAGGGCCAGACTGGTCTAATATAGCAAGTTACAGGCCAGCAGGAGCTATACAGTGAGCCTCTCATCTCAAAACAGAACAAAAACAAAAACCAAGCAAACCAAAGGGAGTCAAGGAGACTCTTCTTGCAGCGCTGGATGGAACCCTAGGATATGTGGTAGGTGACTATCATTGGGCTATACCTCCAGTTCCTTGACTTGGTTGTTTGGCAAACAAGACAGAAACAAAATGCAAATTAAATATGTTCAAATATTATTGTATCTATTCTTCAAGTTCTACATTTCCTGTAATTTAAAAGTGGATCCCTGGGGTACTATGCACTGTGACACCTGTCTTATTGACTGCTCCAAGCTTTCCAATGGTGCTGTCTTTCATCTTTTAAAACAGATTTATTCATTTTTATTTTATGTATATGGGTGTCGCCTGCATGTAAGTTTATGTACCATGTGCACACAGGGCCCAAAGAAGCCAAGGACGTCAGATCCTCTCTAACTGGAGTGACAGATGGTCATGCGCTGCTGTGTGGGTGCTGGGAACCGAACCTGGGTCCCCTGCAGATGGAACAAGTGCTGTAACCCTCTGAGCAGTCTCTCCAGCCCCATGGTCCTGTCTTACAAGCCACATTTTTTCTAAAGCTGAGACAGGCTACTGTTGTGGGGGAAGCTGGGTGGCCCATGGCTTGTGCTTTCAGTGCTTCCCTCTGCCCCTCACCTCTGTGAACCTGCTAGCTCCCTTCAGAGCAGCCAGAGCTGTCTATAGTATACATCAGCCTCACAAAGGTCATCTGGGTGAATGCTCTCAATATAACTGTTTCTCAAGTGAATGAACACTCCTTCACTTTCAGAAAACTAAAGCCAAAATCTCTGCAAGATTCTCTAGATTCTAAAACAAACAAAAACCAGACCAAACCAAACCAAACCAAACCAACCAATCAACCAACCAACTAACCAACCAATTAAAACCCCACAGAGAGCCAATCTGGTGAGCCTAGAGGAGCTGTAGCACATGATCCTCTGAGCTCAGTGTCTGTGTATGAGAGAACTTTTCACTTCAGTTCCCTATGGACAGCTTTTAAGTGCCTCACTGACCTCTGGAGCATGGTTAACTGGTCAGGCACTTAATGTGTCTGTGACACAAGTCTTGATTGGCTTTGATCCTAATATCCTCTGCTCGATCTGCCCAGTCTGCATCCATAATGGTTACTGTAACAACACCAGGTGCAATCCCTGACTCTAACAGGATTTCCCGCCCTGCCCTCAGCCCCTTCACCCTCCCCTGTAATGGAGCTGACCTAGGTTCTCATTACATCTTGGCTCAGGGACACTGCATGGCTAATGAAAGCTGCATTCTGAGCTCTACACACAAATCATCTACAGTCACTTTGTATAACTAGACATAAATCACCTACAGTCACTTAGGACAGCTACACAGGCTAGGGTCTTGTTCCCCCAAGTACTACTCATCAGTGCTGCTGAAGGACTAGAAAGCCTGCCCTTCCTGTCTCCCAACATTGCTGCCTCCTTCAGTGTGCACTCCTAAGGTGTACAGCTGAAGCAGGAGACTTGCCTGTGTGGGACTCTGGGTTCAAACCCTGCAAAAACAAACAAGCAACAAACCTCTCCTTGACAAGTCTAATTGACACCTCCCTCCTGTTTCTGGCTGTCAGTGTCCTTTGGCACTTCACTGAGTTCTGGAAAGGTACTGGCTAACTCCCTGTCATTGGTGGATCCCTTTGCTAGTCTGGCTTGAATACTGTTCTTGGGCTCCCAATTAAAACACAGCTAGTCACTGTGCTTGTACCTGGGATGAACATAAACTAGATCCACGTTCTGTGCTCTGGGTATCAAGAGACCAACTGTGGCTCACTACAGGTTTATTTTATTTTGCAGTATTAGGTATCCAACCTAATACCTTACACATAATGGCTCTACCAGCGAAGTACATAGATCTCCTAGTTTTTGAGACAGGCAACAAGCCAGGAAGTAAGAAGCTTTGTGATTCAGGAAGAATCTTAATCCCAGTTCAACTGCAGAGCTATGTTTTCAGTGGCTCTAGAGCCCAAACACAGAGGGATGTCTAGGCAGGAATAGTGGATGGCATGATTGAAATACTCCTGTTTATGGCCAGAGTATAGATTCTCAGCACTCATTTTAAAGTATATGCCTGTAAGCCCAGGGATGGGTGGGGGGAGACAGCTGAATCCCTGCAACTCATTAGTCAGCAAGACGATGGCCAGACAAATGGTGACTGCCAGATTCAGTGAGAGACCCTACCAAAAAAAAAGAAAGAAAGAAAGAAAGAAAGAAAGAAAGAAAGAAAGAAGGAAAGAAAGAGAAGAGAAAAGAAAGAAAGAAAGCCTGGTGTGGTGGCACACACACCTTTAATCCCAGCACTCAGGAGGCAGAGACAGGCAGATCTGAGTTCCAGACCAGCCTGGTCTACTGGATGAGTTCCAGGACAGCCAGGGCTACACACAGAGTCCCTCTCTTGGAAAAACAAAACAAAACAAAACAAAACAAAACAGGGTTTCTCTGTATAGCCCTTGGAACTCTGTAGTCCAGGCTGGCCTCAAACTCAAGTGATTTGTCTGCTTCTGCCTCCTGAGTGCTTGGATTAAAGGCATGGGATACCACTGGATGGCTAGCCCTCTTTTTAAATACAGAGTTAGTAACAGCACTGTCTGCCTACGGAATGTATGTGCAGAATTAAATGGTGCAAACCTTTCTGCACAATGCCTGGCACATGGTAAGAGCTCAGTGTCAGTCATAATGAGCTAGTATATAACAATAAAGATCTCCATCTTCCTTAGTGGTGTTTTGTTTGTCTTGATGATCTCCTTTTGCTCCTGCTGGAAAGACTGGCTATGAATATTTGTGTGTGAGTGGAGGCAGGCTCTGCTGAAGCAACCCAGGGCTTTATACATGCTAGGCAGGCATTATCCCAGAGCGGCAGACCTTGCACTATGCTTAGATGAAGTGCTATGGATGAAAAGCACTGCCATGTCCAGAGACACATATCTGAGCCCAGCTCACCCATAAGCTAAGCTCCCTGGGGCCCTGCACTTACCACCTATGAGCCTATCTACCCTGTCAGGCCTCATCAACTCCAGCCCAGACCTAGCTGCTGGCCAGGACTTAGAGTCTACTGGTAGTCTCTATCCTATGCCCAAAGGGAATTGCATCCTACTTGCTTAGGGTTGAACCAGGGCCTTGCATGTGCTAGTCAACCAAGTTACACCTTCAGTGCACACTGAGGTCTAGAGGTTAGGCCCGCCAAGGCTCCAGACAGTTATTGAGGCCTCCAAGATTCCATGTTACTGCTCAAGTTCACTGAACGGCTGTAGAGAGCAGCGTCTCCCTGCAGCTACAGTCACGTCAGCCAGCCAGAGCTCGTTCTCTTACCTAGTTTCCAGTATACTCTGTTTTCAGGCTGCTCTCCGTCTCCAGAGTGCGTTGCCTTTGCTTGTGTAGCCTTCCCTAGCCATGGGCTCATCCCTGTCTTTCTCCACATTCCTGGAACGGTGTACCCTCTCCCCATCTCATTAGTAAGGACATTTAGGCTTTGTCAAACCATTTCCACACACGAAATGTTATATACTAGCTCTAGACTACATAGCTATCTTTTGCCCTGGCTTGCTGTGGAGATACCTATTTCCCCTTTTACATGGGTCTAGGTCACCATGCTGGTGTCTCCCCACCTAATAATATTAGCTAAGCTCCCTAAACTTGTTGGGAACTTGCTGTCAGAGTTGTTCTTGCTCTCCAGTTAAGCCTCAGGTTTTGTAGTCACCTGGCCCTTTCTCAGCTTGTAGTTCTTCAGTAAGACTACCACCCCACCTGAAGAGATCAATTCAAATAATAACCACAAATATCATCCATGCTTGCTGGGTACCTGGTCCTGGGCTAAGCATCTGTAAGATTTCAGCCAACTCTGAGTTGTGGATACTGATCACCCCCTTTTTGTGAAGACCAGCAGCAGAGCTAGCCCACCTTACAGTGTGAGGGCCGTCTGTGTGCAGCCGCTGTACTGTTCTCCGGGAACTTCATTTTTTCCTTTCTTTCTTTCCTTTGGGTGGATGTTGCTTTTTTTTAAAACAAAACAAAACAAAACAAAACAAAACAAAACAAAAAAACAGGGTCTCATGTAGCCCTGGTTGGCTTTGAACTTGCTGTGTAGTGAAGGGTGGCTTAGCCTGCACCTCTCCAGCGCAAGGATTCCAGCTGTGGAAAACCACATGTAGTTTCCCAGTATTTCTTACTTCCTCACACAGTAGTTGACTCACTCTGAGTTTAGGGCAGGGGAACTTTGTAACTATCTTAGGTAACCTTTTGGTACCCCTGTATGAGGTCTAGAATGTCTTGAGAAGTAGCAGCAAGGATTCCCAGAATGCTTTGGTGCCTTCCCTCCTAAGTCAGGGCTGCCCCTGCCCTTTCCTATACCTTCTCTTTCAATAACCTTTTCCCCTATACTCCATTCTTGCTGATATCAACCTTCCCTCCCGCTCTCAGATCAGTTTGGGAAGCTCCCACAGCCAATGCCTAAGAAAGGGCCAGCAGGTTCCACTCCAGAGAGGTGATGGCTGGATCCTCTACATTTCTACTCTGTGGCATGCCCTAACCTCCACCCTGCTACTAGGGCTGGCTGGTATAGTAAGACTTCCAGAGCCTCCTAGGCACCGATGTCCTCCTCACCTGGTGTCATAGTTGTTGGAGTGCTTGTCAAACTTGTAGGTGGGTGGGAAGAGCAGTGGGCCTTCCTGGAACTCCCGGAGCAGCTGGTCATGTTTCTTGGCAATGAAGAGCTGTAGATACAAACATAGTCCCCATCTCCTCAGTCCTGACTCAGTAGGTCAGCCCACCCTCTTTACTGACATTGCTCCAGCAGTCCCCACATCTTCTGAAATTGGGACTGTATAGGACCAGGGGAACCACTTGCCTGCCATTTTCTCTGCTATCTTTCCTCTGTAGAGAAGAGGGTTTAAGTTCCCACTGTCTGAAGGTTATTAGGAAGCTTGTGTCAGAGGACACAGGAAAGCCAAAGCCCTCAAAGGGGTGGCATATTCTCCTCCAAGAGGTAAGCAGACTTGGGACAGGAGAGGCAACAGGGATACAAGTATGCTGATGTGTGTGATTATGCCAGGGCAGGCCAAAGCTCATCTGGATCCCCCTCCCTGCCTTTTTTTAGGAGGATGCTAGGATTTCACACTATAGCTTAGACTTGGCTGAAACTAATGTAGCCGAGGTGGCATCAAAATCGAAACAATATTCCTGCCTCAGTCTCCCGAGTGCAAAGACCACAGTTGTGACCAGGTATGCACAGCCTGGCTCCCTGTTCTTGACTGTGCAAATAGTTTCTCTAGGTGAAGATCAGCACTAACAATATGGATGCCCCATCTCCTCATGCAAAACCTGGCTAGATGCTTCTTCCCACCCGTGGACAAAGGGTCCAGAGATCCCAGACACTCTGTGCACTGTTGCTCTCTGAACATTTCACAGACTTCCATAATAGATTCAGGTTACACACACACACACACACACACACTCTCTCTCTCTCTCTCTCTCTCTCTCTCTCTCTCTCTCTCTCTCTCTCTCTCTTTCTCACATACTTTCTCTCTGTCTCTCCCCCTCTCCCCCTCTCTCTCTCTCTTTCATACCCCAGACCTCTGCTCACTTAATACCTGATCTTTCTCCCACAGCTCTCTGTAGTACTTCCTTGTTATACACTCCTGAACAAAGAGCAACCCAAAGTCCTCAATTCGAAAGTTCATGTCTCCAAACCACAGAATGAGGCTTCAGGAAAAAAAAAGGAGGGTAGCCTGAGGGTTTGTGATGAGGTCATTGAAGAGGCACAGGCCTGTTGAGCACAAGAGCTGCTGAGGAGGAAAAAGCTGGGGAGGGGGGGAATGTGAGAAGCTAGACTCTAGGACTCTAGGAGAACAGCAGATGAAGGCCAGGGCACGCTTAGGTCCAATAGGATAGTCCTTGGCTTCAATGCTATTGTTAAAGAACTTTCTCAGATGAGCACGTGGCAAATATAGGAAAAGCTTTAGCCTTCTGCTCCCAAGCTGGCCACCAGGACAAGCTAATAAACAGCCCTGGGGTGAACTCAGGAACCACAAGGGTCTTGACCTGGGATGTTTACAATTGTCCAGGGTTTCTAGGAAGGACAGAGAGGCCAGAGGAAGGTAGACATGAGGTAGGCAAAGCTGGGTGGTATAGCAGATGGGACATCAGGAAAGGGGCTGGGAGATGGAGCACTACTGACTGGCAGGGGAGTAGACTCAGTCAGTGTTAGCCTGGGCTGGCATGGGGGAGGGCAGGGATGACAGTTTGTAGCTTCAGGCTCACTCATGGTCCAGGATGTTGGGGACATCACATCCCTCAAAAGTCAGACTCTCCAAGATTCGGTCAAAGTGCTCCAGACGCTGGTCATTGTTGTACATGTGGGGAGGCAGGTGGCAGTTGACGATGCTGACATAGTAACCATAGAGCCTCAGGCAGACGTTGACTCCCCCTTTGTTCCCCTGGTAGGAAAGGTGGGAAGAAGGGTGGGGAGAGACTCTGGATTGTATACACACCCCCTTTTCCCCATTCTGGGTCTGAGGAGAGGCAGGCTTACCTCCCCCAGGATCTCAGCCATAGACACACAGCTTCCCTGCTAATTCTTCCATGCACAAAGCTCAATACCCAAATCTAGGATCTCAGGAATATCCAGGCCCTGCTGAGATGGCAGGGTATGGGGTGCGTTATGGGGGTGGGTGTGCAGGGTCCTAGGCTACACAGAATATGCAGACTCAGTTAACTTCCTCTGTTTTGCTTAGCCCGTTGTTATCACAAGTCTCAGACGAGAGCTCCGTCCTTACCCAGTACCCGTAGAGGCCAGTAGGGGTGGATTTTGTAGAGATGATCTGGATGTAGGGCAAATGTTGATACTTGGCAAAGACCAGTAAGAGAAGCCCCTGCATACGGACTTGAGAGATCTGCATGGGGTGGGGGGCAAAGGTCATTTATTAAACTTCCAAGGCCAATTGCATCCCTGCTAAGCCCAGCTAGGGACTTTTAAGAGTCTAGAACCACATGCAGAGCCCTGTCCAAAAGTCTATGGAGCCTAGTTTGAGTCTAAATTTCAGCCTTTTCCTTTTTTACTCTGAATTACAAACAGTGCATTCTGAGGCTGCAGCTTCAGTTTCTGCTTATGGTCCTGGGATGGAGGAAAGGGAGAGGCTTCAGGGTAGCTCCCCACTAGAAAGGCGCCCCTCTCCCAGCCAGCCTACGGCCATGGAGCTGCTCCTCTCACTCACGCTGCCCTAAGAGCCCTGTAGACTTCCACATCTTTTAGCGTCCCTTCTCATCAATGAAGCAGGAACACTGTGACAGATAGACTGTGAAGGTTTTATTTTTTGGTTCAGTGTATATCTGTGTGCAGGTGAGCATTGTGGAGGTTACTGGGTGTCCTGTTCTATCAACTTCCACCTTATTCCTTTGGAACAGGGTCCCTCCCTGACTCTGGAGCTGCTGACCAGCAAGCCTCGTGATCCTCCTCTCTCTACCCCTCCATAGTGCTTTTAATGTGGGTGCTGGGATCTGAACTCCTGGAAAGGCTATTGCAATAAGTGTCCTAACCCACTGAGCCATCTCTCCACCCTACTCGTCCTTTTGATACAGGGTCTTGCTAGGTGTCCCAGGTAGGTTTTTTTCGAGACAGGGTTTCTCTGTGTAGTTCTGGCTGTCCTGGAACTCACTCGGTAGACCAGGCTGGCCTCGAACTCAGAAATCCACCTGCCTCTGCCTCCCAAGTGCTGGGATTAAAGGCGTGCGCCACCACCGCCCAGCCCAGGTAGATCTTTAACTGCCAATCCCCCTGCCTCAGCCTCTTGAGTGCTGGAAATAAAGGTATGTGCTCCCATATCCACTTTGGCTTAGGGACTTTTCAACATAAGCAAGAACAAGAGATAGTTTTAGGTGTTGCTCTGAACCTTAAGTTGACTGATAGCAACTCAAATACAAGAATTCATTAACTCTACACTTACTGCACTTATTCCTAATGCTGAGGACCAATTTCAGAGCTCTATGCATGCTGGATAAGAATCTGAACACTTTCCTACACATGTTCTAGCCCAGTGAAAATGATGTGTGTGTTATAACTAGAAAGTTAGACATGGTGGCATACGCCTGTAATCCCAGCACTCAGGAGGTAGAGGCAGGAGGATAAGGAGTTTAAGGCCTTAAAAACAGGAAGACACGGGGCTGGTGAGATGGCTCAGTGGTTAAGAGCACTGACTGCTCTTCCAGAGGTCATGAGTTCAAATCCCAGCAACCACATGGTGGCTAACAACCATCTGTAATGATATCTGATGCCCTCTTGTGGGGTGTCTGAAGACAGCTACAGTGTACTTACATATAATAAATAAATAAAAATTTAAAAAAAAAAAAAAAACAGGAAGACACAGCTGCTAAAACTAACTAACTTCAGTCTCTGTGGCTGAATGCTCATGAAGGCAATACACATGGCATGGAAGTAAGTCCTGAGGACACAGGCTGGGGACACCCACGGAACGGCTTCAGCTTCCCCCGCTGCCAGGGATCACTGGTCCTAGCTTGCTGATGCTGGGTTGAGATTCCAGGAGGCAGGGGAACTAGGAAGACTGTTTTGGAGTTGCCAAAATGCTTACTACTAGTGGATGCAGAAGTGTGGTGGGAAAAGGCCCTCCTAATGACCCTCTTTCTCAGGGCTGGACTGCCACCACTCCAGTAGCTGTTTCCGGAGCATGAGGTGCAAAGGCCAAGAAGGAAATCTCCGGGCGGGGAGCTGTACTGGTGCCTTCCAGGAATTATGAAACCTGATCCCCCTAGTCAAAAAGCAGCCCCAGCACTGTGAAAGAGTCAAAATAGGGAGATCCCCAAAATCAGTACTGAACAAGGGAGGTACTGGAGCCTGAGTCCTCTGGGGTTGCTACACATGTATCTACTAGTCTACTCTCTACCCTAAGTCTTCTTAATTTTTGTTTTGTTTTTGTAACATGACTTGAAGCTATGTAGGCCTAGCATAAGTACTCTACTATTGATCTATAGTTTTCTATTTTTCCCATTCACAACTATCTATGACAACAGAAACCTGGGCAGGGCTATATTATGAGAGACCAAATCCTAGGGTCAGGACAGAAACCAAGATACAGATAAGATTCAGGAGTAGAGTTACATTTAATCCTAACTAACACTGACAAAGCAGGTTTGGGCTTTGGCATAGAGACCAGTCCACTTGGTGAGAGAGCAGCAGGAAGCAGGGGGAAGAGGACAGGGATTATGAGACTGGGAGAATGGGTGGGGTTGTGAGGAAAAGTTAGAGCCTTGCAGGGAAAGTTCCAATGCGAAGAAACTAAACTGAAGGCACTATAAGGACTGGCAGGAGGTCACTAGACGTTGGAGCACCAAAAGGGTCCTGTGAACTCTCAACAGCTGGTAAATCCCACAAGGAACTGGCTATAAACAGGCTCTCCCATCCATTCTGGCTAAGGGAAGGAGAGATAGACGCTTTGTGTATCTAGACCTTCGGCTCTAAACTTTAGGATGCCACAGGAGTGGAATGGGTTTTGCCCCTGACACAAGTTGAGCTACGCTGGCAGGGTGGCTCCATTCCACCTGACCAATCCCTTGCCAATTGATCAAGGAACAAGGAGTCATGAAGTCTTGGGAAGGAATGAGTTTTGAGACAGGTGGTTCTTCCCTCCATGAAGAAATAGCTCCACATCTTCTAGAAGAGGCTTCCCAGTTTGTTCTGGGGCTGACATTGCCTAGCCTTAGGAGAACTAAGCCTTGCATTTCTCCTTCTCAGAGCTGCACAGCTCTTGCTTCAGTATCCCTGGACAAACTAGGTAACTGCATTAGCACTGAAGAATAAAACCCATCCTAGAAAAGGAACAAGAATTCTGGTATTTCCAAGAAGCTGTGAACTAGGTACTCTGATTAGGAGTTGGTTCATTCATTGTGGGTACAGGGCAGAAATAAAACCCAAGGACCTAAAACCTTCCTGTCATTCTCCTATGGTCTAAAGAGTCCCTGAAGTATACTGGTCCCTCAGACGAAGAACCACTTTGCACTACACCTGTCTTCCTCTCTCCCAACTTCTGAGCCCATCAGAACTTGATATTCATGTTCCCTGTTATATCAGCAGGTTAGCTTTGGAATTACCTGTCAGTCTTAACATACACTAGCATAGCAATAAAATATGATAGTTTAGAACACAAGTCAGAGGTTTGAAAGATCTAGATTCAGATCTCGAAGTTATCTGTAAAGTATTTCTGTCTAAGAGTTAAGATTGTAAAATAGCACACACCAAGAGCTTATTTACAATGCTTAACACTAAGTGAGCACTCAGTAAATTGTATGTAGCAAGTACTACACTCAAGAGATTTCATGCTGGGCAGTCTAGATGGGAGGGTAGGACATGAGGAGTAAGCACTGAGGTATTAATAAGCCCTAATGCATTTCCACTAGGAATTCTCCCAGAGTGATAAATATCTAGGTGTGAAACTAACCCCTGGACTCAGAGCTCAGACCTAGGTACACTGGGACAGCATGAGGCAGGCAGGAGTTCCAGGGAGCCAAGTGTAGTGTGAGGTTTAAACCTTTTGATGAATGGGAAAGAACATGAAAAGCCGAGTGGAGGAAAAAGGAACACATCAGACAAACAATTAGCTGAAGGGGAGAAAGGGAAACATATCAGACAAGCAATCAGAGTCAGCACAGGGAGGTCACACACTTCTTACGCTGCCCATAAACTTAGCTTACCTTGACGAAGTTCAGTGGGGAAAGCATATCCATGAAGAAACTGCTCCATGGGTCTTCAAAAGCAGTGTCAGAAAGAAGGCTTATGATTCCAGAATTCATCTCCTGCAAACTGACCATTCCAAGCCAGAGGCTCACCCCTGGCCTGGAGGATATCACCTCTCCCACAGATATCATCAGACTTTCAGGCCTGGGTTCTGAAGTCAAAAGGTCTCCCTTCCCTACCTGTGTGGCTGCTGATCTCCAATCCATGGCCATTGCTAACTCAGGACAAGAAGCACAAGATAGGACCCAATGAGGATAAAACCTCCTCACCTTCCGACTCCAAAATGAGTGAGGACACATTACATCAGTCCTCTACAGGGGTAGGGGGTGAAGGGGCCCTTCAGACACCTACCCAATGATATATATGTCCAGATTCAGGTCTTGGTTGTTCAGTTGAAGTAGGTCACTGAGGTCCTCGGCGGGGGCTGCAGAGGCCACATTCCATGTTACAACATGTATGCTGTGGAAAGGAGGTTAAGTCACGGAGAATGAAGGCCAAGATTTTTCCAGATAATGGGCAGAGACCTAGGCATGTTCAAGGCTCGCACTGCAATAACCATAAGAACTGTGTCAGCATGTTTGTTTGTTGTTTTTGAGGCTGTGTCTCCCTATTCGGCCCTGGCTGGCCTCAAACTCCTTATATAGATCAGCCTTCTTCTGCCTCCTAAATTCTGAGACTAAAGTTGTGCAGCACGATGCCCAGCTTGTTTCTGCATCTTGTGGTAGGAGAAGAGGAAAAGGAGTAGTGGACTACACAGCTTTCACCTTCCCTTTTATGCCCCGAAAGCAGGAATCTCTTCCCTTGAACTGGCTCTTCTAGGCAAGTCTACAGTTGCCCATATCTGGCACAGAGCTGCCAAAGGGAGCACAAAAGCCGTTGGCCAGAAGGAAGGAATGATGAGTTTGACAGACAGAAACCTATTAGTCCACTAGCCCCTCCAGCTACATACACCTCACTCATCCTCTATGGCTCAGTCAGCAACTTTGTACCCCAACTCCTCAACCTATGGGCTCCCAAGAGCACCAAGAAGGAATTAGAGGTTGACTGTACATGACCACATGCTTCAGAGCTATGAGAACAGAAAGAACAAAGCTGACAGCATATTCCCTTCCTCACTCCTACCTTGCAGAACCTTGGAGCACAACAAATTCTGTCAAGGCCTTCATGGAGCCTAGGTACACGTTTCTGAGTAACAGGTTACTTAGTATCTGTCTCAAGAGTCTACTCTATTGGGAAAAGTCATCAGTTGGAGTATAACATTCCAGTCGTTTCTCTCTACAAGTCTCAATATCAGGAGAAATAATTAGCAGCTCTTAAACACAATGGCATTCATCAGAAGTTCAGAAAAGCAAAGACTTATAGAGGCCTTGAGTGAGGGTGTTGCTATAGCAACACTCCAAGAAGCCTAGACTGTCTCCAGGACAGAACAAGCTAGAGCTCAGATTGGACAGAGATGAAACCTTTGAGTTCCAAGAATACTGAGGAACTGTAGTACAAGATCCTTAAAATCCACCCAGAAAGGGGAGGGCAGGCTGCTCTAAAACTTCTCCACCACATCCTGTTCATAGAGGTACATATTCTTAAAGCATGGCTTGTAAACAAAATAAAAAAAAATTCTTGGCTAGCTTAAAGCAGCTCCCTGCCTCTCCCTATGAATATAAACAAAATAATTCAAAAACTGCCTTCTCAAACCCTCTGAGAGACTGTTATTTTGTCTGTTTACAGTCTCCCCCTGCTGTCCAGCAGAGGATTAAGGCAGGTAACCCTTTTACTCAATGGCTCCTTGTATCCCCAGGAACTCACTCTAAGTGGATAAAGAATAAAACTCGGGATTTGTCATCCCAATTCTCAGTTTTGATGATTAGTAACAAATCCATGCACCGTGATTTATGCTCAATTGGACGATTAGCCGTGTTCCTCGTGATTAAAGAGCAAGCATGAGACCAGGCTTCACCTCACTAAAGGATCTTATCTAAATCTGATTTCAGACTTCTAGAGATCACAGCCGGATCAAGAAGATCCCATGATGTACTGCTGAAAAATAGGAACAAAACTTCTAATCTACAGCTGAAGGGGAGAATGTTGGTCCTTAGCGGTCTGTGTGCTCCAAAAACCAAGTGGACACTTGCTTGGGGAGCATCTGCAGTGACCAACTAGGCAGTCCAAGTTTAGAGCGTGCATCAGTCCTAACCTAGCCCATTCAATACTGACTTGACAAAATTTGGGTATCTAAACTAGGGCAGCCTTGATCCCACTGTGGTTTTGAAACCTAGCGCCACAAATCAGACTGGGCTGAAGACAGCTAACCGCCAGGAACCGACCGGTCTGCACCTGCGTCCTCACCTGAGTGCAAAGCTTTTCGGTGCGCTCGGCCTCCTTGGACTCACAGCCGACATTATTCCCTCCCGGTGACCTGGTAGGTTCCTGTCTCCGCGCTGCAGCTAGTACGAGCCGGAACAGCCCCTGGTCTCCGGTCTCAGCAGCACTGCTCCCTTCAGATTGTTTTTCTTCCGGATTCTGACTGCGCTTCGGCTTCCGTAGGAGGTGGATCCAGAGTGTCTAGGGGTTTGGGGTGCGGTTGGGGAACAGGGGCGGGAGCCTACAGCAGAGCGACCCGCCCAGAGGCGGAGCAGAGACAGGCTCAGAGAGGCGGGTCCTACGTGTCGTCCACCCCCGACGCCACACCGCCCGCACCGACGTGCGAGTGGGCGGCGGCGCGGCCGCCCTGGCCCCGCACTCCCAGCTTGCTTTGCGCGAGGGCGCGGGCGTGAGGAGCGTAGAGGGCGGAAGTTGCCGTGGCTCGTGAAATCGGTCTGGTTCGCTATCGTCCCGCAGCGTACGGTCTTCGCTGCCGCCTACCCACCCTCAGAAACCGGGAGGGGACCGGACGGGGAAGCTCACTGTGGTCTGTTCGGCCTCCCTCCCCCACACTACAAGTAATTTCTCATGTTCCTTGGCGCCCTCATAGGGGTCACAGAGCACTTCCATTCTTTTAAGTGACTTGGTGGTCGTCATTTGAGGGTTTTTGTTTTTTTTTTTTGAGACAGTCTTGCTATTAAGTCCTGGGACTTGTTATACAGACCAAGCAGATTCTCCCACCTCAGCCAAGATTACACTACCACGCCCAACTCAAAACTAGTTTTGCTGAATACAAAGCAAAACAATTTAGGATTCCAGAGAGCCACCAGTGAATGAAAAACAAGTCGTTGCTATTTGGTGTATATTCGTGATGATTATTTTCTTTGCCAGACACTTCGATTTATTATTTCCTTTAGATCGTTGGGTCTTAATTTTTGAGGGCGGAGGGATAGTGCATGGGATTGTTTTTATAGTTATGACTTCCCCAGGGAAATGGAATTTTAACAACATGAAATTCACACGCTTGAAAGCTAAATTAGTGCCGGGCAGTGGTGGCGCACGCCTGTAATCCCAGCACTTGGGAGGCAGAGGCAGTCGGATTTCTGAGTTCGAGGCCAGCCTGGTCTACAGAGTGAGTTCCAGGCCAGGGCTATACAGAGAAACCCTGTCTCGAAAAACCAAAAAAAGAAAAAAAAAAAGAAAAGAAAGGAAAATTGAAAGAGCGAGAGGGCTCAGAGGTTAAAAGACACAGACAACTGACCTTGGGATGGGGTTGGTTCCCATCACCCACATGGTGGCTCATAACCATTCTAATTCCAGTTGTAAGGGATCTGGGGCCCTTTCCCCTCTCTGGGCACTAAGCATGGCAGTGGCACACATTAATCTTACCCATTTGCAGTGAAATTAACAAACCTGGTCTAATATTTTCTTTAGGCCAAGCTGGCCTCAAACACAAAAAGATCCACCTGCCTTGCAAGTGCTGGGATGAAAACCCTGTGGCACTATGCTTTTAAACAAGATTTTTATTTTAGTTGTATGTGTGTTTGTGTGCATGTGTGTGGTGTCTGTGGGGACTTGAAGCATCAGATTCCCCTGGAGCTGGAGTTCTAGGCAGTTGTAAGCTGTGATGTAGGTACTAGGAATTGAACTCAGGTCCTCTAAGAGAACAGTTCATAACTGCTGAGCCATCTCTCTTGCCCCCAAAGTGTAATTTTTTTCTTCTTTATTTCTAAAGCCCAGGCATACTTTCCCCAATGCTTTGCGTTTTTTCATTCTTTATACCCAACCTTGTCACCATGTGCCTGCTCGAAAGGGAGAGCTCTCTTCTAGGCAGTTGCCAAGATTTACAGCTTGCTTGCCCTGCTGTTTTTCTCCATGACTTGAAAAATTAAGAAAAAAAAATTAAGAATAATAAATAAATGTATTGCTTAGTAGAGTAAAAGAGAGACAAAAGCAAAAATAAATGGCTATTGAGATATGCACTGCTGCATAAGAAAACTGAATTGACAAGGGACTATTTTTTTTTTTTTTTTTTTTTTGGTTTTTGAGACAGGGTTTCTCTGTGTATCCCTGGCTGTCCTGGAACTCACTCTGTAGACCAGGCTGGCCTCGACCTCAGAAATCCACCTGCCTCTGCCTCTGAAGTGCTGGGATTAAAGGCGTGTGCCACCACCGCCTGGCTGACAAAGGACTATTTTAATGTGACTTTTTTTTTCATGCCTGTTAGGTAAATACTACCACTGAGCTATACTATACCCCCAGCCCGAATCCATACTGTAAGTGACTTTTTGGGACAAGGAATACTTTATTTACATAAAATGTCAGAAACACCACTGTATCTTTTTATAATCCTTTCCTGTAAATAAACTGGGGAGACATCAGTAGGAGCTTTAAGGACATCTAAGTTGAAAAATGGACATAGGAACACCACCAATAAGCTAGACTCCAAAAAACTCTGTCTAGGATTTTATTAGACTGCTTTTTTCCCCAATATACCTGTATTGGAAGATTGAGACAAAAAGGCACAAACTCACATTAAATAAACAGGTAATCTAATCAGTTCTATAAAGTGTAGTCTGTAAAAGAAGTAGCACTAAGAACCAACCCAAGAAAGTCAGAGGTCCAGCAGGGACTGTGAAAGGAGAATGTGGAAGGACACAAACATGCCCACAACACTGGCCCTGACCTGTCCCTCCCCAGCATCCCGAGAAGGCTGGGGCCCAACAGGCCTTGTGCAGAGACACTGCTGCTCCCACTGGGAGTAAAGCAGACCCTGGAAATGTGGGCACAGCAGTCAGTCTGAAGAGGCATGACACACGGGGTCATCACCAGACGTGAGCCTTTCATCACCAGCCCTGAGTGCTGGTCACTCTTGGGGATGGGTAAAGGACAGGGATATTTAAAAGCCAACACTTGCCCAGCAGCAACACCACCCATGGGGATGAAACAGACAGGGACAGCCCTCCTTTTGTGTTTATGTGGGCAGGAGCCCTAACTCCCAGGCTAGTCTCAGGAAATTCTCGTTCTGGTCATTTGGATACTTTCAAATGTGGGCAAGAGCAGGGGCGCAAGGCAGGTAAGAGCAGGCCGGGACTGAGGGCAATGTGACTGATATGTATGGATCTCCTCAAGTGCTGAAGGAGACAAACATCTTTTTACCCCCACACCACATAAACTATCTGCATAGAATATCAATTCCGCTCAAGATAACTCAGATCTGGACTTCAACCTAGTTACCGAAGAAGGAAAATCTTTAAGCACAAATATGATTTGACAGGTAATACAGAGCTTATATGAGTACATTTATGTTTTTCTCCATTAGGAATGCCTCTTCTCCAACTTTCTCAAGCTAATAGCAGCTGATATGCTAATCACCAACCAAGATGCCCCAAGTGCATTCCTAAAGACTCCACAAGGTGAGGGGACTAATGCAGAGGAAGGTTTCCATAACAAGACATCTCCTGGTCTCAAAGGAACCTCAAGGATGGTCAGAGACAATCATGCTGAGGGGCCCAAATCTGTCCAGCCTTACTCCAGGAGGGCTACAGGGACGCATCCAGTCAGGATGTCATAGGTGCAGTCCCTGAGACACTGCCTTATTGCGCTTAGAACTAGAGTAAGGCAAACACTGACAAAAAACAAGAACAATCCATCCTATTCCTCACTCCCCTAGCAGAGTTTGGTCTCTAACAGGTACCCTGGGTATCATAGGCTTGGATCACTACACACTGGGCTGGCTGACTGAACAAGGCTTGGGAAATGTCAGGTGACACAACTATATCATACTCTACCACCAGAAAGGCCTACTCAGTTTCAGCCAATCTAGAAAAACTAGGAAGTGCTCTGCAGCTTCTTCCCCTGGAGCCCGGGCTTCACCAGCCTACTGTGGTTAAGTGTTCTAGGCTACAGTCACTGCTTGCCTTTGATTGTCCAGGATAGAACCCAGTATGGGGCAGGATGAGCTGAGTTCTTGATCTGCAAATTCCTGTCCAGTGATTAGAAACAGGAAGGTACATGTGTTGCTATGGATAAAAGCTTTCTGCATGCTTGTTTTATGCAGCATGAAAAGACCAGGACTCTTGCATCCTGACCAGCCTCAAAGAGGACGGGGTCTAAGAAAGCAGAGAGTATTATTGCTGAGTGGCAGCACCAGCCCAAAAGGGAAGAGGAGCACGGACATACAGCGCTCCTTGGGGGTCTGATCGGTGTCTACAGGCCACACTGGATTGTTCTCCAGCTGGGCAGTGGTGGGTTCTTGTAGGCTCTGCAAAGAGATCCAGACAGAGTGGACAACAGGAGGGCTGAGAAGCCAAGATTTCTAAGAATATTAACCAGAGATGCAATGACTCGAGTAGGGCTTATTTATTATTTGCTAAATTTTCTGAGACTGGCTGGGCCTTGGGTGCCTTCTTGGTGCTTAGAGCACGCGAACAAGAGGTTACTAGGAGCAGAGGTCAGGGTTCTGAAGCCACATTCCTATCGTGAGGAGCTGGGGGTAGGTGTCTCTGTATTTTTAACTCCTCCTCTCTCCCCAAGTGAATATTCAACATTGCCAAAGATTTGCCCAGGAAGCAAAATAGCTCAGTTTATCCCAAGGCTGAAATAAGTGAGCTTAAATAATCACATCACAAAAGGCAGCTCATTTGAAAGACTGAGAACGTCACTTGGAAATAAAGGGGGAGGCCATACAGAAATGGGTCAGAGCACAATGGAGAGAGGGTGAGCTGTAAATACAGCAGCGTACACCATATATCTTAGAGGATCAGGCTCCCGCACACACAGGCTTTATAATACCAGACGGTCTATTTGTTCACAATGTTAAAGGGCATCTAGAAATAGCTATAGTAAGGGATTGAAAGTTGCCTGAAGAATGAGCACAGAAAGGCTGTGTCCGAAGACGGCCTGCCTCGCAGGAGGGTGGAGCTGCTGGGCCTTCCTGTTGACCACTGTCTTGCAAAACTAGAAAAGAAATAGAAATTATTAAGGAAGCAACAAGGAAAAACAGAAGCACACAGTAAATCATGACAAATGGAGAAATTCCAGGAGGAAGGGTGCCAATTGGTGGGGTCCTTGGAGAGAGGGTAACAAGGTTCTGGCACTAACTACAAAACTGGCATCTGTTCAATCGTCCCCTTCCACCTCCCAGAGCTGTTTAACGTGGGTTGG